CAGGCTCTGCTCAGGTGCTTGAGTTGTGCTTTGGAGTCTCTGGGATTCTAGATTTCTAATTCCAGGAAGATGGTTAAAGGCTTATCATATAAACCCTTTGCTATATATATTGCTTAAAAGTAGCAATCAATTTTGTCAACATTTTGGATTAATTCAGACATTACAAGAAATGTTTCCATAGTATTTAAATATCTGTACCAACAATTAAATACTAAATATACATATATTAGTGTTTCCTTATTCTGTAGGACAGGGACATACCATTTTATTTTTTGTCCTGGGAAGCAGGAATATTATCATCACTTTTCTTTCTTTGAAGAATCTGTTATTTATGCAAGAGAAAGAAATAGGAGATTTTCTGGTTCAAGAACATGGCCTGGAAATTACCAGCCACAGTGCATCTCAGTTTTCACTACAATACTGTGTACCAAACCATTTTAATCACTTATAATCCTTTTTTTTTTTAACTGCTGGGCTTTTAAAAGCCGAACTTCTGGGAAGAATAAAGTTATTTTGCATAAAGCTCTACTTAGCTCCAGCTTTCAAATAAAAGTCATCTGCATAAATACTGGAATGTGTTACACCCTTTTTTCTTTCTAATTAAAAAAAAGAGATATTTTTCTGTTATTTTTAAAGGCACCCTGGGAATTCCCACACTGCTTGTACTTCTTATACTGCAAAGGATTTGGTACATCAGACAAAATAACTGGAGAGCCACTGACTTTGTTTTTTGTGCCACTCTCAGGAGCAGTTCCCAGCTCAGCACCCAGAGCACCCCACGGTAGCTAAGTCAGCTGGCATTCAAGAACAAGGAGCATCCCTTAGCATTTTTAAGGTCCTGTAATGTCCTGTTACAAAAGCTGTTCTTGATGACCAAGGGCAGAGACAAGTGTGGCTTCAGCAATGGCATCACACAGAAGGGACAAGTGGCTGCCTCCTGGGTGGCATCTCCCCTTAGTGATGCTTTAATCAGCACAAGAATCAGAACTGTATTTGACAAACTGCCTTGTTTCATCACAGTATCAAGCAATTCAGCAGCTGCTTTCAGAATCAGTGAAAAAAATACTGAAGTGATTTCTTGTGCCCATTAGAATCTCTGCTGAGAACAGTCATCAAAAAGAGTGTAAATCTTTCTTAATTTCTGCATGAAGGGAAAGATCATTCCCTCACAAAATAAAATACCTCACCATAAAAATTTATCCAATTACTTACACTACTTTTTCACATCCTGCCTGTTTAATAAGACAAATAAGACATTTGTTAGTTTATTACACCACCAGTGCACAATTCATTTTTATGACACAGCTACAATAAATAACACAAATGAAACAGCCAAATCTCACAGCCTCCAGTGAAACAATATTTGGAACTTAATTACATGCAGTACACACTTTGCAAAGGATGTAGACTCAGTTCCAAATTTAGCAAAATGTGATCAGGAAATAAGTGTCTGGAACTTAACCACAGTGTTTGTTTGACCCTTTTCAGTCTGGAAACCTACTATTTGCCAAACATCATTTCAGCTTTATAAGAGTGTTAAAGCTCCTCCTCTAGTCCTCTGTAAAGAATTAACTGTTCCATGAAGAGATGTTTTTAGAATCTTACTGGTCTAATTTACACTGTAACTTAAAGTTACTCTAAGGGTAAAGTCTCCAAAGATTTTTAATAACTGTGTTTAACAAACGACATCAGTTTTTCTGGCATTCTTTTTGTCTTTTCAAGAGGGGTAACTCAAAACTGCCTGAATTCACTCACAAGTGTGTGACTGGATGAACTTAGGCTGGGCTAGAGTTCAGTTCTGAAATGCTGAAACTGCTCCAGAGCCCAGGCAGCATCCAGAGCAGATGGACATACTTACCTGGAACTGTTCTGATTGTAAAGGTGTAACACATTCTGATCACCTTACCTAAAACAGGAATACCTCAAGAGAGATACAGATCATGTTTTCATCACGTGGCCACTGCCCATAGCTCAGACTGTGCTCATCTGCACATCATGTTACTGACAGTAAAAACCATGGGGCACAAATTCTCATGGGTTTCATGCTAAATAATAAAAAAGGAGTGTTAGAGTACTACAAAAGTATCCTGCATGAAATATTCCAGCTGTATCCTTCTACTGCTCTATATTGGTGATTTTCATGTTATAAAATATTAAGGCCTTCTTAGGTTAAGGTGTATTTCTTTAGAATGACAGACTTGCTCTAAACTGAACCAGTGAATATTTTTTTCTTAAATTACATCCTAATGATTAGACTGTCCAGTGAGAACCTTTTTATTAAAGGATACATTTAATTCTTTTCACCCATCTCTTGAACTACCTACCTTGGAAAAACAGTTTTGCAGAGACATGGATTCAGTTACAGCAAAAAACATGATTTATACAGTTTGTGCAAAAGAGAATCAATCTCATTTCTCGCTGTGGAAAGTGAGATTTTACAGAAGTATTTTAATCTGTTTCTGGTAATTAGCAAAAGTATTTCGACTGCATGAGGACTAAGTAAGCTAGTCTAGTGCACGCTGACAAAATAAGTGATGATCCCTGGGAAGGCAGAGACCAGAGCTAAAGGGCATGAACTGGAGTGTTTGTTTTCTATGTTTGAAAAAGCAAAGCTCTGTGTTTGCACTCACTGGCAGTATGTACCTCATGCAATAACAATATTGTTGCTATTATGTAATAAAATTGTCTCATAATAGACAGTTATTAAAATAATCAACCCAACTAGCAATTAAATCTCAAAATGACAGAGCATTGCCTGTAATTAAAACACACTTTACTTCCACCCACGTTAGGCAGAGCAGCCCGAGTATCCTAATACAGCAGTTAGTCTTTATTAATTGCACCTTAATGAGGAGTCCTAGGACAAATTCAGTATTGAAATTCAGAGTACCATCAAATGGTACATCATCTTAAATTAGCCTAAAACGAACAGTAACTGCCAAATGATGAATTCTAGAGTCAGCTGCCCACAGTGACAGGTAATGTGTCCCAGTTATTTGCAAACCACATGTCCCTGCTCTGTCATAACCCAATGTACTTGTGTAAAATACTACCACAGCTACAGCCAAGAGGACATTCAAATAAAACAGAGTAACCTTTCTGTCTTATCACTCTGACTACAGGTTATAGTGACTGCATCAGAAAATCAAAGGTGAGCTTTGATTGCTATGGGTAACCCCCTCCTCACCACAAAGTTTGGGACACTGCCTGCATCCCAAGGGGGGCAGTTCCCTAGGAACTAGAAGGTAGTCTTTGTTGTGCTCTGGGTGCAAACAGCAGATGCCTGATGTCTGATGCAGATGTGTAGAGCAAACCAGAATCTGGAAGATTCCTGTGCCGAGGATGAGCCCAGAGCAGGCACCAGGAAGGAGGGGGAGAGACCCTTGGGCTCATTTCCACCCCAGAACCCCACCTTGTTAAAGCAGACGTGGAGCTCTGCAGGACCTGAACAGTTACCCAGAACAAGCTACAGCAGCAACACACCAGCACCTCTGGCCTGGAGCTTTGGCCATCCACGCCAGGGCTTGCTTTCCCAAGCTGGGCACCAGGGAGCACACCAAGAAGTAAGTTCTGTAAAGTTGGTAAAACGAATATCCAAGAATGATCTGGTTTTTTGCAACAAATAAATAAAAGCTTAGAAGTGATTTTTGTCATCAAAAAAATTTTTGATGCAAGGTGGAATAACAGATTATTTCATTTCCTCCTTTCTCTTCAGTTCTGCAGGTTCCCTGGTCTACTCTGATTTTCTGCTTTTCTAGACCTTGAGAAACAAAATCTAACTAAAGTAGCCAGGAGAATTAGACAGGACAATTAGACACTTCAGATGCACAAACAAGACACATTGGATAGGTCTGGTTTGGATGAGATACATAAGAGTTAACAGTGCATACAGTGCTAGCCAGTATTACCTGAAAGCAAGGTAGGAGAAGATAAACATACAATGTTAAGACTCTTAAATACCAAGTTTAGAAGTTTTTTCAGTTCAATTAGGCACAAAATGATGAGAGATTAGAGTCTAACTTGTCTTATGCAGGCACCGCTTATCTCTGTTTGACCACTCTCACCAACAGGAGATTGGAACTGGCTGGAGTCACTGCCCCAAATAAAATAATTACTTTTATAAGATTAAAGAAGCCATTACCATGGACTGACTTTGCCCCAGCAGAACAGAGCAATGCAATTGTTCAGTGCTGGGGACCTGGCAAGGCCAGACAAAGTTAGGCTCACACTCGAGCAGAGAGGCAGAGACTGCAGGGCCCAAACTCACAAGGACTTGGGAAGTGACAGTGGATCCAAAGGAAAAATCCTGTATGCAACACCTGACACAGCTTCTTCTCCTGATTGAAGTGGATACTTCTAAAATTCTCAGCAAGACTCCCAAAGCTTTTACTAACACTGTTCTTAATCCTCAACAGCTTAAATAAAAACTAGTGCCCACTGGAAGCTTTTGAACCCTTAAAGGGAGGTTCAGGAGTCTTCTTTTTCCTTCTGTGCTCATCTGTTCAGTACACACACGTCTCACAAGAACATGAATGAGCTTAGTTAAGAATGTGCCAACGAGGAATACAATTAGACTATTTTAAAAACACAGTCAAGGAGGACATATTAGAGTGTTTAGCAAGTCAAAATTAAAAATATAGTTCCCATGTTCTTAATTTTAGTGTAATATTCAAGACACATGCTGTGGTGTCCAATCAAAACTACAGAACACGGTTACTCATCGTTTTTTTGTGTACATGGCAGAGAGTAATTATTTTCAGCTCCATGTAGTTTGCTGCTTTAATTTGCTGAAGGTCCCCTCAAACACTTCAGTGGATCTCATGTGGCAGGGGAGGAAAAAGCAGGAGAGAAGAATGTCTCAATCCAGCACTGCTGCCAAGGAAGTGTTCTGTGTAACAAACTTCCAGGGAAGAGAGAAGAGACTTCTGTGTGAAAAGTTTGGTTTAAGCAATGTATGTAGCATCACTGAGAAATTCCAGAGCAGAAGCAGGGACAAAATCTGACTTACCATGATAGGTTCTACTTGCAGAAATCTCCCTTCTCTCCTGCATGCCCTAACTCATTTTGGTGAAGCAAATGAGGCAGGCATCCACCACTGGTAAACCCACCTTCTCCCTGGAGAGTGGACAGAGAAATCAGCAAGTAAATGGCAATTCCCAGCAGCTGATATCAGCTAAACACCAGTTATTAAACATGTTGTTCTGTTCACTGTCCTGCCCAAGGCTGTTACTCTGGGGATCTTCCATCTAAGTCACACTGTGGGTTAGACCATGTTATTATACAACAAACTTTATTATACATTTACAACATACATTTACATACAACTATTATACAAACATAAAAGCAAAGAACCAGGCCCAAAGCAGAACTGCTGCAGCAGTTTAACAAGGCACTGGTATGGGTGGGTTTAGGAACTTACCCAACCAGCACAGATAAAGGTTCATTTAATGAGTAACACTGCATCATTCATCAGCTCTGTGCTGCCACAGGCAGTAGGCATGCTGGTAGCCTGTTAATAATTTCAGTTGGTTTCTTTGGTTGGCTACACTTAATTGTTGTCAAGCAGAAAACAAATTAACATTTTCCTTTTCTTTGCCACGTCCTTGTGCTCAGCATTTCCCCACAGCTCAGGGACAGATGTTGATTTGGGGGGTGGAGGGATGTGTGTAGATACTTACAGGAATGAGGTAGGTAGGCCCCCTTTTCTGTTCCTAATGTGTTTGCCTATTTAGGACGACAGGAGGCAACTGTCCAGCTGATTTACTTCTGATTTTGGAGCTCTGCAGTGTCATGTGCCTGTGAGGATGGAGAAAAGACCAGAACATGCTTTACTGTTTTGCTCCAGAAGTGACTCTGTGAAGTGCTGCTCTGCATCCCTTTGGCACACCCAAAGCACACCCTGACCCTGGAACACTAATCTGTACCTCTATCATGGGAAAAGAATTTCTTCCCTTCTTCCAGCTTTGACCATTCCCAAGACTGCTACAAGACTTCAGTATCTCACTGTGGAGATGACAACAGCTTTTCTATCAAGAACCTGAGCCAGAACCCAATCCAATTCAGATTAAGCAGAGTTCAGGATCCAGCAGAGAGACAGAAAGGAAACTTTCTGGAGGGAAACCACCTGATCATTGGCACACATGAGCCCAGACAGGAGCGTTCTAAAAGGGAACTCAACAAACCCACTTGGTCTGCCATGAGAGGGGCACTGCTTTGTCCCTGCAGAGCTGATGCTTCTGGTAAGTCCAGCCCTCTTCCTGTTTGGTTCTGAGAAACAAAGGCAATTTACCTCAAACCTCAGTTTAGAGGTGCCAGTTTTGACCAGTTCTGCCAGTGACAGAACTGAGTAAATTATTCCAGCTGATCCAATATGTTTAGCCTCTTTCTACTTATGAAAAATTCATCTGTAAGTTGAGATTTATTGATTTTTTTTTTTCAAAAAAAGTGGTGTGATTTTAAAAAACCCAACAAACCCCAAACCAACAAAGCACTTCAGCCTGATCTAAAAGAATCCTCAATATTAAGTAAATTAGCCATGAAGCACAGAACCGAGTGGTTTAATGAGCTTTATCTTAAATGTTTTGCTTCCTGACTGGATTTGCAATCACATCGTAGTTTATCTAGTTTTAACCTGCTTTACTTGCTAAGAGAGCAATAATGATCTGCACATGCTCTTCTTTTACAGCCTGTTTAGTGATACTGGGACCAAATATCATCATTTCTGACAGTGCTAGATTCTGCTCCTCTATTAGTCTATGTGTCATTAATCAAGGTCTTAAAAGATACTTCTGTAAAGTTTTTAGGGTTATCATTCCTATAATTTTTAAATACTAAGAATAATTGCTTTCTGGCAATTCCTTTAATTTTTATCCCTCCTAGGTGTAACATATTTCACTTTCTCCTCCATATACAACTTGCTTTTTCTTTTGTATTTATGTCAGCAAATGCACATATTTGTGAAATATATTTCTTTCACAAAGACAAACTGGCAGCCTCTCTTTTCTACTTCCCTTTCTCACTCTCTCAGCTGTATTTTTTCCAAGTATGCGCTGTCACACAAATTTATTTCAATGCAACATACCTTCACTGGTCATTTTTAAAGCCATCAGACACTACAGGTTCAGATGAGCTTTCACCTGGTGAACCCACGGCAGCCACCCAGAGTACTGTCTGAGTTCACCGTTCTGTGGAATGCCACTGGAAAGGGAAAACACCTACTGGAGCCTGAGCAGAAAGAACCAAGCAGCCTCTGTGCTCAAACACAGGGTATTTCCAAGGGGTGGTGGGCACAAACACAGCATATTTAAGATTTAGAAAAGGAACCTCCAACTCCACGCAGTTGGGAACTTACGTGCACAATTTCACAAATATCTACTGAATTTCACACGCAAAGTGTTACTCAGATTGGTGACCAAAGGTAACACACATTGGCTTCCCAACATTTTAAGAAACAAGCCAAAATGCCAAACCAAGAGGCTTTTAAGAGATTGCCCAGATACTTCTTTGACTCTTGCAGAGGTCTTTATTTCAGACTTCTACACCTGCTGGACACTCACAAAACTCAATCAGCACTTCCAGAACCAGCACACATGGAAGAACCACCCAGAGCATCAGTGGCCATCAGAGGGCCCCTCTGTCTCTCTGAATTTCCACTAAAACCAGCTGTTTTAATTGCAGAGGTAAAACACCAGCCAGGACAAAGCTCTCTCCAGACAGCAAAACAGTGAAGTAAAACAATGAGTGCAGAAGGGACTGCAGAGAAAAGTCTCTCCTGGTTTCTCTACCCCCTGCTAACACCATCCCTGGATCCCTGCATGCACCACACAATAAATCAGAGGGTAGGAGAAGCAGAGGAAGCAGACTGGTCTCATCCTGACTGGGGGAAGTTCATACAACAGCACAAGCCCCGGCCAAGGAGACGCCAAACGTGTCTGTGAGTGCAAAAGCCAGGAGGGTACCTGTGATGGTAAATCACAGACTGGAACACAGCTGTAAGTGCCAACACAAGCAGTGAATCTGACCTCAGTGTTCAAGTCTGCATTCAGCTGTTCGGTTACTCTGTCACAGTGATTCACATATCACGAAGGAAAAACAAACGACACGAGTCAAACTGAAACAATTACAAGAAAATTCTTCTGGAAAGAACACGAAACATTTGCAGTCAGTTCTTATAAAGGTAATTAATACTCTCCAAACTCCATCTGTGTCTTGTTTATGGCATAACCAAAATGTGACAATCTCTCACTAATGACTCATGAAGGTTTGATGTAGTAATCTCTTGGCATGATTAAACTCTAATAAGCACTGTATGTTAATGCATTTATTAATCAATATATCAATATATTGATCAAATTACTGTTTAAGATCAGATTTAAAATTAATCTTTGCAAATCAAAGCAGACCCTTCCAGTCATGCAGGTGATGGCCACAGCTGTTTTTTTATTCCCTGTAGCTCAGGTAGGGGGGCTTCAGCTGGGTGTGAATGGCTGGCATTCACAGACATTGCCAAATGCCTGCACGTTTCTTCACCATTTCACTGATAAAATCAGTGGGAAGAGCATCACTCCTACCTGTCCTATGAATTAACTGAAACATCTTCCTGCTCTTCAACAGCCAAGGAACATTTTACCAAGAGTAAGAAAGACTAAATTATTTCCCTGCCTAGTTACACATCATTAAATTAATCTGACTCCTCTGTGCTGGCAGGACTGCAGCCAGCTGCTCCCATCAAGTCTGTGTAAACAGGACTGAGAAATAAATACAAGATCCTAAAACTTGTTTTTATCTCCCCAGCACTGTGAACACCTACACTTCATTGAACAAACTCTTTTTTTTTTTTAAATGCTATCAAATAAGTAGCTCTTTTTTTTTCCCCCGAGCCATTGAAAGCTCAAAATTCTTAATTTATTGAGTTCTAAGGGGCTTTGTTAAAGTTAAAAATGGAATGGATCTAAATTGAACTCCAGAAGCTGATCTTGACTACATATCTACCTGTGCACTTGCATTAAAACATCTCAGAAATTAGGAACCACAGGAAGTCCAATACTGAGAAAATACTTTGAAAAATATTGGTTACATTTTACACTCACAGTGCCTCTCCTGATAAACTCATACCACTTCTGTTTAACTTCATGAAGAAAATGGTTTTTGTTTTGGCTTTTAAATAAAAAGTTACCTGATTTCACCTATCAGCTCAACAAATGCTCATTTTGTCGCTTTACTTTCATTAAAGGATTAAGTTTCAGGGAATACAAATTATGTCACATTTCCACACATGCAAAAGCCCCAAGACAAGTAATTCAAATCCTAATTATTTTTTCCAATATATAAGCCAGTTACAGGATTTTTCCCCTTTTATAGTCAGAAAATTGAAGAAAAATCCACATAAAAAGATCAAATAAAGTTTATCTGTAAGCTAAAACACACATCTTGTAAAGAATATTTAGTGTGGTGTGCCCCAGCTTTTTGTTCACATTTGAGTTCACTGTTTTCACACAGACTCTCAAGAACTGTGCTGTACCCTAAATCACAGACGTTAAATTACAATTTTAACATTTTTTCTCTCGCAGGTTGCCATCATTATTAAGATAAAATATTGGAGTAAAAATTTCTTTGCAGATAATACAAAGCCAGCAAGTGCATTGGTGTAGGTTTCAAAATAATTATCATTTGGCTTAACAGTTGAAAAAGTTCTTTTTTAAGTCATGTTTTCACTTATTTTGTCTTGAATTTGGCAGAGCTTAAACCCATACAAATCTATTTGCATGATTAGTTTCACTGTTTAGACTGGTCACATAAAGGCAAACACGTAGTCATCAACATGACAGTGTGTCTGAGATCTTTTGGAACACACAGAAAGAAATCCTAATTTCACTGAGGTCAGAGAAGGCTGTCCAGGAGCTTCACCTGTTAAATACCCTCTGAATATTGTGAGCTCTCTAACTAAGCAATACACCCAAATCTCGGGGGAAGATCATCAGTGCATCTCAACAGTAACTGACTTGAACCTGGGGATTCTCCTTTTTTTTTTTTTTCCTGTAGTTTGAAAATTTTGATATTAAAATGTGTTTCAGTTTAAAAAAATATATATAAATGTATGCCAAATATGCATGAGCATATACATATATACATATATACATATAAAAATTTGCCTTGCTCATTCATTGTCATTTCCCATCAGCCTCTCAGACTTTGCTTCAAGACAGACCTTGAATTACCACTAATCACCAGTTCTTTTCACTAATCAAAGTTTCTAATCACAACTCCTCTATCATACTCCATTACAGGCATACAAAGTTACTCCTTTTACTAATCTCACAGTATGTCCTTCATCCCTTCTGCCATTCCTGGGCAGAAGATGAATGACTTCTTAATTTCTGACGATTTCTAACTAACTTATCTTCCATAAATTTCCGATAAAAAGCTATTTTTAAATTTTATACACGTGCAGAACCCCCCAACAGTTACTGATCCAAGCTGCACGGAGAACTGTGTTGGAAAGTCGGGAGCAGAGCAAGTTCCAAGGCCTGCAGACACTTCAGGGGGGTTGCACGAGGAAAACCTGTGGCTGGAGGGCTGTACAAACATCAGCAATGCAGTGGAGTGCACCGCTGCAAACACAGGCATCCTCTTCCAAAACAACACCAGAGCACGCAATTCCAGTTACTCTTTCACATCTGCACCAACCACCTGGTTTGCTGACTTGACAGCAACAACACAGCCACAGTTCCACCCCCCAAAAACATCTTTACAACACCTCAGCAACTGCATAGGGGACAGTTTCACCTTTACAAACAACAAAAGCAATTTTACTTCTAAAAGAACCATACTTTATTAACTATAAAACACATCTCTAGATACAAAACCTCTGAAGCCCACTAAAGAAGAGTAGCACTAGGTCATATTCCAAAGTATCTGATCAGCTGTGACAGGACCTCTCTGGTCACTCCTGGATGACAAAACATAACCCAAAAGTAGAGCACGCAGCGTGTGCAGATGTCTAAAGGCTCACAGTGTTAAGTGCACTCTCCAATTCATTTTAGCTTCACCTCATGAGACCTCTAAATCCTGTTTCACCCAATAAAGCCATTTTCTAGTTGTCACTCTCCTGATAATGCAAAAAGGAAAAAAAAAAAAAAAAGGATTGACTTGAGGTTAGTGAGAGGTTTCCTGTAAAAACTGAGAACCTGCCACTGGTTTATGTGATGGTGGAACCAGTTTCTCCTCAGCACTGAGGACTGAGAGCAGAGGAAGGGGGACTGTAGTCAGGCAGGTCCCCAGCTGTGGCTGAGCCATGGCAGGGTCAGTGGCTGCGTGTCCTCCTGTGCTGCTTCCCTGCAGGGCTCAGGGGTGGCTGGGAGAAGAATGGACAGCAAAGACACCGGAACAGGCAAAGCCTGAGCTGTGCTGAGTGATTATCTGCATCGTGAAATGCCAGCAGAGCAAGCCTGACCTCTGGACAAGAGGAGAGTAAGGAAAAAGAAAAATGACTAAGGGAAATTCTCCCTCTGATTTAATGAGGTATGTGGGGGAGAAAATATTGTGAACCACAGGCAATAACTCTCCTATCACTCAAAATAAGCATCTACAGCTCAGATGTCAATGAACGTTTTCCAGGAAAACAATTACTCAAAATCTCTTGTTAGAGGAAGACCAGAAAGAATTAAACCATCTTTCTTGTTTTTCAGAGATGCTCCAAGTGGAAAACATGATGATTACATGATGAGCTGTCACTCGGCTACAACCCACTCAGTTCTATTACTGCTTGCTACAGCTACTTCAGCATCCACTCAGCTCAGTTACCTTTTATATTCATCACATGCAGCAACTCTCAGATGCCCCTCATGACACAGGGCAGTCCTTGCCCTCAGAGTCCAAACTGATGTGATCTCTTTTTGCTTTATTGCAATTTAGGGCTGAACTGAGAAAGAGAGCAGGAACCCTGTTTCCATATCCCTGGGATTCCTGCACCACACGCATTTTTCTCTGCCCTTCCTTTTGCTTTCTAGAAGACTGAGGTTACAGGGTACAGTGCACCATTTGCATACCAAAAGCAGCAGCACTTTACATAAAAATGAAAAGCAGGCACTTTTCTGGTTTCTGTGACTAAGAGCTCAAGATTTCCTTCCTCTGAATCTGTAACTCCAAAGTCAGGTGTTACTCAGTTCACCAAGACTGGTTCAGATAAACATCTTAAAGGTGAAGAAGCTCCCCCACCACCCAGTGTTACCTGGTACATATTTGCCAGAGACATTTTCTTCCCAGACACTCTTCTGGAGCAGTTAAAGACCTCACTGTCTTACCTGAAAGAACATAAGAAAAACATGCAGTCAAGTACAAAGATCGTAAAGAAACAATTCTTATGTATCTCAAGTTACATTCTCATTATCTGAGAATGCTGAACGGCACTACCTCACTTACTGGGGCACTTCAATGTCTTTTTTCAGCTGGCCACCACAGTCTCAGATGTGTCAGATTCTGTCATTAAAATAAGCAGGAGACTTTCTGCTCTACTTTACCCAATCTAACAAAAGGACATCTATACAGAACCCTGTGCAGGTTCCTGTAAATTCATGCTGAGGTAGGACCTTGCCCCAAGTTTGTACCAGGAGGGGCCTTTTCTGAAGCGCAGTGTCCCAGCCTGGTGACGAGGCACGCAGCAGCTCTCGCTGGTGGTCACAGACATCAGGTAGGTAAGTGCAAAAAGGCTTTAGAAGGGCTAAGAGAGGGATGCAAGCGTGTCCCTTCTCCCCCAGAGCACGACTGTGATACGTGACATCAACTTTAATGACTTCCCTGCCTAGAAACGTACCTGGCCACCCACACACCCAGACAGAGCACTGAGGTGGGAACAGCAAAATGAGTGACTCAGAAATACCAGCTGTTTACCACAGCGTCTCACTACTCCAACAGTGGGTAGTGTTTGAGCTGTCCTTGACCTGCCAAATCCCTCTTCGACTCCTTCCCACCATTAGAAATGTTGGTGTGTTTCCAAGCCCTACCATGAATGCACTACCAATTGCACGAGGAAGATCTATCTCCTTCAGATGGTTTAAAAGAAAAACAGGTAGCAGACAATTCTTCTGCTCAGGAGAATCATGGAATACTGGCAGTCCAGAGGGATCACACACTCCCTGGACCTGTGCCAGCCAATCAAGGTGGTTTATCATTCACAACTCCTCAACCCCTTGCTGTGCCCTCAGAGACAGCTGATCTGTTTCCCTCTATGTCTTCAATGACAGTCAGATCATTTAAAGAAATTCCACTGGATCAGAAACAAGAACCACTGTTTAAAATCAGGCAGTCTCAACAAACTTCCATCCATTTTCCATCTATTTTTACTTAATAAAGCACACAATGCAATGGGGCAAGCTCAGGAAACAAAATGTGTTTATGAGGACATTGCTATTGGCATAGGAATCTTCATATTAATCCACTTCCCTTTTAAAATAAATTTTCCCAGATTCTCAAACACATTTCTGTACCAATGCTCTGTGCAAGCACAAAGCCAACAGTCATTCCACAACCACGTTAGTACAGAGAAGGAACAGAGGAGTGGCTGCACAGAAGACACTACTGCCATCAGCACTCATCTGAAATGCTGGGTCTTTTCACTGCCCTTTGAGTGGCCAAAGGGAGAACCTTCTCCAACTGTAAGTTGGCCTTGGCTGCTGAAGTCTTACATCTTACAGTGAATAAATCGTTTTCTCTTTAATGGCTGCCAAAGTAGGCACTGAGTTTAAATATTTGGAGAAAACTGCACCCATCTTCCTACAAGCGCTTGTTTTCGTGGATTCTAGATCTGTGCTGATTCTTCCAAGACACTGGAAAGCCAATCCTACACACAAAGTGTTCAAGAGCCCGAGTTCCCACGGGCTGACTGGACTTGTTTGGTTGGAAACAAGTGTGAGAAAAGCAGCCACGTTTCAGTACGTGTGGTCCTACTCTCTGGCAGTCCACACCAAACACAAAGGAAGGAAAAGGATCTTTCTGTTGAACTTCATAAACTGGTAAGAGATGAAAGGCACACAGAACATAAGAAAGCACTGACACCTGACCAGTGTGATCTAAGGTAGCCTGGATAACCACTGACAGCTCCACAGGGATAATCCCATTCAAAGCAAGGCTGACTGGATATGCATGTGAGTGTTTTTCACTGCTCTTGTGTTGTGAAACACGGAGAAGAAACTTAAAATTCCCCGTGTCAACAGCATATACATTTTTTGGGGGAAAATAAATCACAATTCAGCTGTCAAAACTATCTCTTATGTCCAGCACAACCTTCAGTCCAATCCTGCCTTTCTGCCTGCCTGATGTATTCAGAGGTTGTTGCTGGAGTCGCTTCCTCTTGCCTGTCCTATTTAACGAGTGTAATTCAAGAGAATAAAATCAACTATTTCTGCAATAGCAGGAAGGCACATAGTGAACCGTGGAATACCAAATCTACCAATTCACTTGATTCAGTGGATACAAATTTTACCCATAATACTTCTCTGTAACTGACTGACACCAAAACAGAACAAATAATTCAGTAATCACACCTGCACCCGGAACAGGCTGTCTTGTTCAGGACTGAGGTCATCCAGAGAGGGGAGTTTGCAGTGCAGCTGCTGCACTTTACATAAACACAGAGCTTCCATGCAAATGGCAATGCTTGCTTCTCACCCCTCCTCCCTTTTTATTTTTTTTTTTTAAATATAATTTTCCTATATATTTTGGAAAACTGTAAATTTTGTGGGCAGCTGTGTTTTTTTCTAATTTGAGAATGAAGTACATCTTGAAATTATTTCCTATTGTAAACAACAGAGCTGTCTGATGATTTTAGCATGATATTAACAGAAGGTTGTTAACTATTTTTATAGCATAAGAAACAAAAATTTTTAACTGTCTAACCCTACTCTTTAAAAGCTGGTAAGACAGAGTTTTAAAGGAGAAATGCCCAGCAATCCACATTAAGTGTGCCAAAGTGATGTTTTATGCTGCCATGGGTACAGACTCTCAGTGGCAAAATAACCCAGCGTGTACTCCCTCCTCACGATGCTGCTACTCCAAAAATGACCCTCCTCCTCCTCCACAGCCTTCATTATGCTAAACAAATAGCTCATCATGAGGGAATAGCTACTGGCACTTCTCGTGTGCTAAATCTATATCCTCCTCAGAACACTCCCAGTGGGTCACTTTTATTGAGAGCATTACTCAGTGTACACCTTCTCAGGACTTGCCAAAACCACATTCTAAACATGTCTCAAGCCATGCTGGTAAAAAGTATGAATGCACAGGATAACCCAAGTTATGTTGGTAGCCACCATCTAACAGAGACAGGCAAAAAATCCTGCAACACCAAGACACGCTCAGCAAACCCCAAGATAACTCAGTTACAGTATCTGCATGTTCACGTTATATTGACCAACATCAAAACAGAGTCAAGCTTTTATTCTGCAAACACATCAGCATGGGGGCGTGTTTTCTTGCCCATGCTCCTGAAACAAGCCACGAAAGATAAATATCAGATGTTTTGGTATTGGCCAGTCTGGGAGCTCTAGCTGAGCCCAAGTCCCCCACTGAAGCACGCTGGGAATCCCACTTCAGCAAGCACTCTTACTGGGACCCATTCAAACGCTCGTGCAGGCTGGCAGAATGAGCAGGAAGTTCAACAACAACAAAAAAGGAAATTAATGCACATTTCAATGCATTAATATAATGCAGGACTCCCATTCTTCTTTATTCAAGTTCCTGTGCATATGTAAAAGAGGATGAAGAAGTAAAATTTTCCATTCCAGCTACAGATTGTGCTAGAAACAGCACCAAAAGAGGAAAATGTGTCTCTGCCAGTCCAGCTGAATGTCATCTAGTCAATGTTATAAAAGGTACTTACTGAAACGAGTGGCACAATCACCATTTCTTCAATTACAAAGAATCCTCTCTGAGGCTCAAAAATGCAACATGGTTGTTTTGCACTATTACTAAGTGTGCTTGCATGACATCAGCGTTTGCATCAAAGCTGCTGGTGCAAAGAGGAGAGCAAAGCCAATTTTATGAACTGATGTAATCAAGCCCAGAATCTCTCTGGGGTTTTTTGTTCCTGTGGCCACAATGACATCAGCCCACTGTGCCTATTCAGCAGTGCAGGGCACTGACAGCTCTTCCCTCTGCTCCCACACTTCTCCATTCTTTGGCTCCTCTTTTATCGTGTCAGGGTGTACAAGCAGAAGGACTCCACTTCCTCAAGTCCTATTTCAGTGGGACCCAACACAACACCTGCCTCAAATTTCTCCCTGCTTGCTCTCAGTGTTTCCAGCTATGGCAGACAACATCAAAACTTGACTTCCAGGGGGGAGGGGGGAAGAGAAACCTCAGGAATTTAACTAAACACAGCTAAACCCGGTAAAGTGGGTCAAGGATTTCCCCCCTGGAAGCCACACTGTTCCAGTAACAGCTGTACCTCGGGGGAGCAGACATTTCTCATCCACAGCCTGACCTGGAAGGATTAGGAAGCTGTTTGTGTGCCCAGCTGGCACTGCAGCCCCACGACACCCAGGCTGGAGTTCCACGGGGCACCCCCAGCATCCCCTTTGCTCCCACCAGCCTAGGCAAGCAACTCTGCTTTTCTCTATCAGGTTCTGTGCCTGGAAAGCCAGGGGAATTATACTAATCTGAAAAAGAACTTCCCTAGGAGAAGTCAACTCACTTTTGCTTGACATAATCCAGCCCTGGAATTCCCCACCTAATTCATTCCCTCATGGGAGACACAACATCTAGGCCAGAATACATTAGAGAAAACACATTTACACATGGAAAATATTGTAAAGCTTAGGGACAAACGTGCTCTGTCACTGAAACTACCAGTGCACACAGAGTAGGTTTTGTGAGTTTTCCTGCTGAGAGATTTCTTGGGTCTGCTCTGGTGTACAGGACACAAACACACCTCTGCACAGTAGTGGGTATCAAAACTGTTCCCAAAAACCAAAAAAAAAAAAAAGGCAAAAATATCTACCATCAAACCAACCAACCTCTTAACCAAACTATCCCCCCATCTCCACTTCTTTCTCCATGTCTTAAACTATGAGGAGAAATTAATAAAGAGAAAATAGCAGTATCTTAGATACATTTCTAGATTGATTTTTTTAACCTTTTTCAGTGGATTATATCTTTTGCAAGGTTTAAAGAAGGCAACATTATGGAGCACCCAGACTACAATTAAAGTAACCTTGCCATAGACTGTGAAAATTAAATGCCATGCTCGACAGCTCTGCACATCAGATTATCACAGATTTCTTCTTACCCACTTCATACATTCTTCAGC